TACTGGGGCAGCCACGCCCCGGACCCAACCCACAGCCATGGGGCCCCCTTGGGACAGAGTGGAACTGCCCCCACGGGCTTCCCAAGGGTGCTTACAGAGGATGAGCCCTGTGGCGCAGGGGGCTAAATGTCAGCCTGCTAACCGAGAGGTCAGCGGTTCGAACACGTCTCCCGAATAGCAGCAGATGTAGCCGTGTGGGTCTTAAAGATCCACAGCCTCGCAGCCTCACGGAGTGGTTTGACTCCATCCTGTGCCGGGGCCTCCAAGTCAGAATCGGCTCGGTGGCCACGGAGACCTCCACGGAAGCAGACAAGGAGCAGCCGGTGGGTTTGGACACCCGGCCTCTCGGTTAGCTGCGGAGCACATTAGCCCCTGTGCCAGCAGGAAGGCTTCAAAAGGGCAGGCACGCCTGGGGTGGCTTAACGCACCCGCCTCAGCTTCACAAGGGGCTTGAGACTGCCCCGTGACACCAGAAGGGCAGCATGTACCAAGCGGCCCTGGAGAAGCAGTAGCCAGTGAGGCCCCACTTCTGCTGTGAGGGTGACCCCGGCCCCAGCGCAGGCAGGGGAGCCCTGCGTTGAGGGCTCAGAGTTGGGACCCACAGCACAGAATGGCTGAGAGGCAGTGTCACAGAGAATACTCAGAGCTCAGTGGCGTGTCTCCAGGAGTGTCGCCACCAGGCACCTGTGACGGACAACCTGGTGCCGGAGAAAGAACCACCTGGAAGCCCGGAGGTGGGGGACTGGGCCTGTCTCCACCAGCCAGAGCGGAGGACCTCATGATTTAAGGGTCACCGGGCAGACTGGCCCAAAGGTTCCTGCCTCAGTTATGGGGGTACGATGAGCCCCAGGCTGCATGCCGCTCTGATCCACCTTACAAATCACGCCCGCGCGCTCGGAGCTGCTTCTCAGAACAGAGCTTACTGCTCATCGCATGCTAGAACCAGTGCCCAGAACACAGAGCACCGGCGGGCACGCCAAGCTGCCGGGCAGCCACCCACCACGAGGAGGAGAAGTGCCCCGCGAGCCGGGATGTTCCACGGTCTGTGCCACTGTGTCCCGCACACTTGAAAAGGCGAGCGGACACGTGGGAAACCACGAATGCCGACGTATGAGAACACATCGGCACGGTGCCCGGTCGGCGTACCTAGAAGCTGGAGCTAGTCCCCCTTCAGTGTGGAGAAGCAAGGTGGTCACTTTGAGGACTAAGGTGTGCCTGCCCCAAGCCATGGTGTTTTCAACCATCTGCACGTGTGAACATTGGACGCTGGACGAGGAAGACCAGGGGAGAAGCGGTGCATTTGAATGGCAGTGCTGGTGAGGAATATTGAAAGTACCGTGGACATAAAACGATTAAAAAAATTAAAATATTTTTAAAAAAAAGAAAAGAAAGTACCGTGGACTATCAAGAGAATAAGGTAAACCTGGCTGGGAAGATGGGCAGCCAGAATGCTCCTTAGAGGCAAAGATGGTGAAACTGTGCCTCTTGCACCTTAGACGTGAGTCTTGTCTGGGAGACTAGTGCCTGGGCAGGAGGGGGAAGGGCGGCCAGAAGAGGAAGGCATTCGCTCGGCAGGATGGATTCATGCCGTGACTGCAGTTGACGGGCTTAAACACAAGCGCGATGTGAGACTGACACAGGCCGGGCAG